CTAAATACGATAAAGAATCTAACGGTTAAGTGACACAAAAATCATGAGTACAAATTGCGATAAGGACCGAGCAACTACACATTGATGGAATGTAAACTAAACAATGCCGGTTGTCCAACGACTAAGGTAAACATAAAGAACAACTTACCGCTTACCTATCGACGCGCTAGAATACGGGATTCAGGGCGTCTGCCTGGCGTATTTCATTTGCAGCGATCAGCACATGGTTCTGCACATCATTGGCGTTGTACTGGCGTTTGAAACAAGCACTTCTTCATACAACCGTATACAAAGAAGTCCTGCGAAGTTAGATCTCGTCTCTATCCTGCCCTCTTCCTCCATAATGACTCCTTATATGGGCAACTTCAGGTGTTACAACAACAAATCAACCACTTCCCTTGAGAGAGAGATGACGTAGTTTCCAGTAATAATAAGAGCTTAGCAGTGATAAACTGATCGATAGTGTCAATCACTGATACTGCTAATTACAAATTGATTAAATGCAGTGTTACATATTATAGGCAGAAGCAGGAGTTAGGAGGGGTAGAGGTAGACCTAGATTAGATTACTGTTCGCAAATAGTTAAAGATATGGGTTGTTCTAGTTTTAAGGAATTATGAAGATTAGTTCAGGATAGGAAAGAGTGGAGATACGTGTCCAACCAATCTTAGGACTGACGACCTTATGATGATGATGATGATACGTTTCTCTGGATGATTTAGCAGGGCAGGACTGACCCTTACTTGTACCTCGAAAAGGGTAAACTTTCTGACCTGCAAACGTGTATTTAATATTGTTTTACAGTGCACTATCATCTCCAGCAAACGTTACTTTCATTTCAGTTGCACCCTGTACATATGTATATAAGTTTAACATTTTACATCTAAGCGGTTTCCTTACTGTCAATATATAATATTTTTATATTCTTGTAAAGTTAAGTAATATTGTGACCCGAAATGGACCTTTCAAAATGGAAACGGAAAAAAATACTAACCAAATGATCATACGAAATTTATGTGTTTTATGGGTTACCTTTGCCGTAATCATAAAAATGCCCAGTGCGAAAGCCTGTCACTTTTTCATAATAAAATTGCCTACCTACCTATATGTTACTTTCTCCATTTGTGGGGTACTTTATTACAGAGTTTGTGTTGAACACTTTACCTAAATAAATGCGAGATCATTTTTTTCATCCATTTTTTTCTTTCGGAGAAACAATATTGAGGATTTATAAATAAACGGGTAACTTAATATTAGAAAATTAGGCACCTTTTCGCAGAACAATTTTGATCATTCATTATCTAATTCGTTACTAATTGAAAATAAAAAGAAAAACAGAAAACCAAATTGAATACTTAACTGAGAATAATTAAGGAATTAGTAAACATCTGTTTTTAGGATATTGGGAAACATTTTTGATGAATTTTTAAACGTTCTCTTTCACAAAGTGTTCGTTCAGAATTTCTGAATGAAACCGATTTTTGCCAATTAAAATTCATTATGGATCGGTTTCAATGAAAATGAAGAAAATTGTGTTTGAAAATGACACTTAAGCAGTTAAAAAATGCTTTCGAGGTAGTTCGGCCAAAATTTCATTTACGGTAAAGTGACAATAAATATTATACTCTAATCAATATTTAAAACCCTTTCACTGCCAGAAAGGAGAAAGGCTTTAACGGAATTAACATTTAAATTGAGTATCTTGTTTTTAAAAGGAATATAACACGTACCGCCGCTTAAATAATAAGAATTTTACCAATAGCAAAGTTGATTTAACTGCGACAGTTATTTATTAGAAATTCAAATGAGTTTATGCAGTTCCTCCTATCTATATCGTGGTGCAGACCAGGAGGCTAAGGCGGGGTCTCTTCAACCTACTTATAAAGATCGTGGGAATGGGTAGGTGATGGTTGGATTTAGAACCGAGCGGCATGGCCTAGAGGTTTAGACCATTGCTTAGCATTCGGGAGGACGCCGGTTCGATTCCGGGTCCGTCTGCCTTGGTCCAAGTTTTTCTGTGGTTTCCTTGGATCACTTAGGTAAATGCTGAGGCAGTAATATTCCACAGATAATCTTTCATTCTCTTCTGTCTTCATTTCGTCCGTCTCAACTTTCTCACCCGAACCACCACCCACCTATTCCCACGATTCCTGAAAGCAGGCTGAAGAGGGCCTTCCGCCCTACCTTCCGGCGTAGCTGGTGGGAATGAAACACCCAAGTTTTTTTTTTTTGGATTTAGAACGATGAGATGGTTAAATTGAGAAATGGAAGATTTTCTGTGGAATATCAATACTGTCTTAGTATTTGCCTAAGGAATCCATGGAAATCACAGAAAAATTGGGTCAATGCAGACGGACCGGGAATCGAACTGGTTGTCATCCCGAATGCTAAGCAGTGGTCTAAACCTCTAGATAATATCGCTTGGTTTTATCTGATGAACATTAATAGTAAGATTATTTATAGTACCTAAAACGAAATTTAGGCAGTGTTCTCATGAAATTCTTACAGTGTAGAATATAGCTTTTTTTTAAGGTAATGAATGTCTTCAGGTTGTTGGTAACAAGAGCTAAAATTTATTGGACACTATTTGTAAAACGCTTTTTGGCGAATTGCTTACCAACTGAATACTTGAAAGAGTAGTCGGGTCAGGGTCAACACCTTCAGGGAAATTATTCGACATTTTTGGAACGTTATAAATCCCGAACGGAATTGGCAATCTCACCGTTACGAATACTGAATAATTTCCTCTTGTGATAAATTTCGAAATATATTTTTTTCTTGTTATTGATGGAACTGACACTGCTTTACGTAAATCGCTCTTCTGTATAAAGTAGCAAGGTGTTATTTAAATTCCATTTTTTTTATTTCGGTGAATAAAATCAAGCAATTCTAATGTAAATCTATAAACATGGGATGCAGCATCTACGTGTAATATTTTATTTTACGTAAATCCAATGCCACAGCAACTACTGAGCAAGATAGGTATTAGGGACAGACTCGATAACTGTAATGATTCCATTTTTGTTGAGCCCTTAAAAGTTATCAAATATGTTTACATAGGTGATGTATTATCCATTACTCTTAAAGCGATTCTACTTGATGTGTTTTGGGCCTCTTCTACCAATTCTAATGTCAAAAGGTATTTAAGGCGAAAGGCCATCTTTAACCTCCTATTGGAATTGTGAGAATAAGATAAGATATGAAGATAGTAAAAGAGTGAAAGAAAATCTTTGGGTGTTTCATTCCATAGATTAGATTACTGTATGCAAATAGTTAAGGATATGGGTTGCTTTAGCTTTAGGGAAATGCGAAGATTAGCGCAGGATAGAAAAGAGTGGAGGTGCGTGTCCAACCAGTCTTAGGACTGATGACCTTATGATGATGTTTCATTCCCACCAGCCACTAATACTGATTGACGGGTAGTCCCTCCGGACTACGCCGGAAGCTAGGGCGGAAGGTTCTCTTCAGTCTCCTTTCAGGAACCGTGGGAATGAGTAGGTAGTGTTTCGGGTGAGAAGGATGAGACGGACGAAATGAAGACAGAAGAGAATGAAAGATTATCTGTGGAATATTACTGCCCCAGCATTTACCTAAGTGATAAAATGAAACCACAGAAAAACTTGGACTAAATCAGACGGACCAGGAATCGAACCGGCGTCCTCCCGAATGCTAAGCAATGGTCTTCGGGAGGACATCGAACCTTGTACATTCATGTTGCATAGATTATCTGGGCGAATCTCAGTCAACATAATATTGGCGTGCAATGTATATACCTACATAGATAGCGGAAGCTTATGGTTAACGTAATCACTCGTTATAATCGTTGGACTATTGCGGATTATTATTGTCCCAGTATTTAGACATAGTCCAAGGAATGCCGAGCTATGACCTAATGTGTAAATAATAGATGACGCCGATTACTTTCGATGAAAGGTATACAGTAGCCACTTTGGGTGATAAGTTGATGTAGATAGGTGTTATCACGGATACGTATCTTATACTGGATGTTGTATAACCATGTTGCATAGATTATCTGGACAAATCTTAATCAACATAATATTACAGTACACATATAGTAGAAGTGTATGGTTAACTCATTATAGTCGTTGGTTTTGACTTCAGCTTTGCCTTCATCATTATTCAAAAGCAATATGTTCTCAACAAAGTCATCAGCTACCTCGTTAATTCAATGATAGGTCCTGAAATTTTCATTTCCACGCAATAATTGCCTCGTGACTTTCATTTAACTACCTCCAGATATACATGTAGCTCAGTGGGAGTCATGAATATCTTTATGTATTTCCTTTTCCTGGAACGAACTTCACGGGGGGATTCTTCCCTTTCTAGCCGTAATTTAATTTCAAATTTACCTCCGTTAATGGCAAAAGAAAGGGTGCTTATAAAATTATTACCCACGGTATTACTAATTGTAATCCATTTGCGGAAGCAGCTCCTCGCTACGCATGTTTAAAGCTTCTATAAAGTCTTAATTATTAGATCTAATTGTAAGTTAGGGGATTCTTAAATGTTTTAATACTATTTATTAAACGAAACAATATCAACTTACTTTATCTTACGTTCCCCCAAGATAAGGAAAATGTTGAGTCTAATGGAGCTGCTCGGAAAAAAATCAGGAAGCTACAGTTATTTTACTATAGTAGATTACATATTTTGAGAAGAGATAACTTTCGGTTGCCAGTTTTTTATCTGTGATTATCTAGAAAGACCTCTGTAGGTTATCGAAGGTCTTAAGATACGATATCGTCAGTTGTAACGTTATATTCAAGGATCTTAGGAGATATAAGCTTTTGTTTTTCATGAAATATTCTGTATTATACATAAACAAAAGACATTACCGTCGAGGGCCCACAAAACCTGGAAGAGAGCTACCAAATTGACAAATCGTCGTATACCAATTTAGAATTGGATAACTACGTTTATTAATTTAAAATTTCAATCTATGTTGTCACCTGGAAACTGAAATATTACTTTTGTTTCAGAACTTGAAGAACCAAATAATGACAACGAACTTATGGGTAGAGCAGGTAAGTTCCATTGAAGAGAGTTCATTGTTTCAGATTTATATTTCAATACAAACGGAATTGACCTTAAAACAATTTATCCCAATGAAGATACAAAATAACTTTGAGATAGAAACGATTGATGCTCTTTCCAGTCATGGTACGATTATAAACTGCGATGGGAACCGAAAGAATATGGCGGTGTCCATATGCTTCACGTGCCTTCTGATCACATATGGCGGCCTGACATTGTCCTGTACAATAAGTAAGTGTACTACAATTAATTGCAATTTTTATCCGGTAGATGGCGTGACTGTTTGTATGTGAGAGTGAAATCTGCTCATTGGCATAGTTCCGTCTCTGTTTATGTAGCAGCTTATTTCTTAGCTATCTAACGATGTGATGCATGGCAGCCGCAGAGCGGAGGTAATGGCAACATTTCGTGAATCGGGCTTCTTATAATGATTTGCATTTATGGAAGAGACCCTTGTTGGAGTTCGAGGATGATAATGAGTTCTTTCAAATTGCATCGTCGCCAACCACTGAAGCGTGGAGGGTGCAAATGAGCGATCTTAACATTTTAAATGATACCTTTGCGCATATACACATATATACTCAACGTGAAATGTACCTATTTGTTTGGAGCACGATTCCTGACGCCCCTCGAATGAAAAGATTCAAAAGATATTTCATATTGCTCAATTAGCCCATTTTTGCTGTATCAAATATTTAGGTCGACAATTTCTATGATTGCTTTTTCACGTCAAAGAACCATGGCAATCTTTTTGTACATATGGATCGTAATTGCAATATTTTTGTATATATGGATCTTAATCACAATCCTTGTCCTCCAATAATGATGACAATCATTCCCTTATCATATAACTTGTCAAGTAAATCAATCAATCAATTGTCAACATTGATATGAAATATTTAACAGGTGCGAAGCAAGCTTAGACAGTTTGCATTTTGGAATTAAGGTGAAATAAACTTTTTGACGTTGTCAAAATTTTCATTGTCGCAATCATGTAGCGTCTATTTTAAATTAGGTGTATGCTTGCTGTGGATAAGTATATTATGAAGACGATTTTGTGGACTCAGAATGAATTACGCGGAAGATGTCGCAGGTAACTACATTGTAGAGTTTAAATCTGAATCAGCTGAGGTGGTAAATCGCATTAAAAGGACCCGAGATATTGTAAATAACCTGAAAGCTCGGCTAAATTATGAACGTGAACTACTCGCTGAGGAGAAGAGATGGTCGTCGTTAGTGAGCACACCGGAAATTGGAAAAGTATGTCTCTACCGTCACTAAAGTATTAGCTTATTGAAAGCACAATAGACTATTACGTTTTTAGAGTACGTTCATGAAAGTGGAAAGGTTTGGAGGTCCGTCTGAACTGATTCACGATGTGAGGTATTCACCCAGAATGACTTCAGCAACCCAAACGGCTTGTAACACGTGCAGCTGTCCTGTTTATTTAAAACCTAACGAAAGAACGTGTCGAAAAATGTGTAGAAGGGTACATTTGCCCCACATGCGTCCACTTCAACAAGTCGAAGATGCTGACATACTGGATGAAGAAAACGGAAAGACCTTTGATCCGATTATAAATTATCAAGAGTATTTAGACGATATAGACAGTATGTGCAAAAAGGAGATGAAGAACGTTAAGAAAAACATAAAATATCTGTGCAAAATTCAACGTAATTTCAAAAAGTTGCGTCGGAGGAAAGAGAATTTATTAAAGGAACACCAACAGTTCGATGAAGACGATGGATCATCCTGCTACGACAAATACAGATACAGGCGTAAAACTGAGGATACGGATTCTGTAAGCAGCAGGCAGAGATCGTACAGAAGGTCAAGATATTTATTAAAGCAAAGACACGCATCCCAGAAGACTTCAGCGCAAGATATGACGACGATTCCTTTAAAAGGAGCATACCTGGTAGTTAGCAAGAACCATTTACAAACCACAAGCAAGGACAATATTGAACGAAAGCACAGAAGAAAATGTACTGAGAAATATAGTAAACGCAACAGTCTGGTTAAGAATATTATAGATTCTGAATGCGAACTTAGTGAAATGGTCGAAAATCTGAAGTTGGGTGTCTCTTCATCCCATGAAGATAGTTTATGACGGTATAATGTAACTGTGCCTGTATAGTATAATGTGTATTAAAATGTAGGTTTTTCTGCAAACGTCCACACTTACGTAACTTGTATCTATATCGAATTCAAGTGCTTAAGATAATAAATTTTGCTAAGCTAATGGTTCAAAATGTGCACATCTAAATTTAACCTCAAATTCATTCGGGAAAACAAAAGTTATCTATCTGGTTCTGTTCTTGAATCACTATTGCTTTTAGTAATAGCTACTCTATGCAAATGCTTGGTCAAGTATCAACTGAGACCATCAGATGTGAGTCGCCATTTCAGATTTGGTTTTGTCCAACACACTACAGGTTAATCCTGACCATAGGTAGGACATCCTAGGAACGGAGATGAAGAAAGTGAAGCATCTCAGCGGAGGATGGGTAATGCTCCTAAAGCAGTACCTAGACTTTATTAACTATATCTCTGCGTCAGTTGGTCGTCAGCATTCCGCTGAGTTACACTGCAATTGTTGTACTACGCGTGCGCAGTACGGGCAGCCAATAGAATTTAGGCACCTTCTACCTCACAGCATTCACCTTGCCAGCTTTTTCCCTGTTAGTGCTTGTTCCGCCCCTATCCTATGTCTATGGTCTCGACCAAAAAGTACTTGCTTCAAATAAGTGAATTCAGTAATATAAAATGTTGTCAATATAATTTTTGCCAATGAAAAATGTGCATAGTTTCGTATCCACATTAACTAAATAAAAAATCTATCTATCAATAAAAGTTTAAATCCGCTCTGATTGACACTCGTTTACACATAAATTGAAAACTCATGTAGTTTTAATGTGGCCGATACGGACTGCTGTTGAGCCGATTGTTTATAACAACGGGACAGCAGTGGCTGAATGGTAATAATCTGGTTGATGGTGGCCTGTGCCACATACATAAATAGTATAAATAGATAATTCCAACACTTTATTTCAGCTAACTATTGGAAATACGTGCAAGCACTGGAGCTTAATCGCAATGCAACAATGCAAATAAGTGCTTGTCTCCTAGAACTACTTAGTGTCGAATTACTTGCGACCCCTGTTTTAGTCAAATTAGGGAAAGTGTGTAGGTGCAACCTTTTAGGATGTCTCATGCTCTAGGAAACTTTTATTTTCTTTACTATTTTTTGATAACATGAACTGTGCTTTAAATTTAAATTGTATCTGATAAAAAACTATAAAGGAATACCTAATAACTAATCTTCTTATCAGCGTTTTACGAACCAAATGTTCCTCTTAGATGATAGCGAATTTTACTAGTTTCCCTATTTTACCACAAGCGTCAGCTTTGTCATGAGATATTTTTAATTTTTAACAAGAAACACCCAAGTAGGTAGTAATCCCTAAAACGATTTACAAAGTTCGGATACAATATCTACTTAATAAGTAAGTAAACAATAGCAATACGTATACTTATCTTACAGTTATTTATTCGAGGGTTATGTAGTAAAATTTATTTGTGAGAAAAAGAGATTTCTTTCGATTTTGCGGCAAGTACTGGAAGATTTGCTGAATCCACATACTGTCTCGAAATATATCGAAACCTTTGTTACTTGCCAGGTCTTAAAATAAATTCAGCTCACGCGATCGTAGTATTATCCGTTTAAAAATGGGGTCACTTACCCTTGCTTTCCATCTTTAAATTGCGTTATGAGATACATAGGTCGCTATACCGTTCCGATGCTACGGAACATGCAATCGCACGAAGGAAGATTAATGGAGATATAGCTTTGAAATTCGCAAACTAGCCCGAAGGGGTAGATTAAACACCTACTCCTACACCGAACGCGAAATATCGATTTAATTTTCACCGTTTCACTCTTTCTCTCCACTACAACGAACGGCACGAATATAAATGTTAAGTTATAATGCCATGAAAATTTTGTGTGGATATAATGGATAATAGACCGAGCGCTTTTTGTAAAGTATATGTATGTATACGTACGAATATGCACCTTAACGGTTAGATCCTTTTACCTAACAAAACATTGTAAATTACCTCAAAAGGAGAACCCAAAAAGCTCTATTGTATTTCACTATACACTAATACAAATCTTGCCCCTGTGTTATCATAATAGAGAAATATAACAAGAAAAATGGGCGAATGGACAGAGGGTCCATTAAGAGATAATGAGGGATTTTAATACGTTTTTTCAAACAAGAATAGAGGGCTCGTCATTCAGATTTGCTTAGATACTTCTTTCCTAAATTATGAAGGCTATAAAACAAAATAAAACATCCTAACAGGTTTAAGACAAGGTCTAAGAAGTGAACATTTTTCATGTTTAAATTATGACTCCATTAAGTTTACTGTTTGGAGATGCCTGTATAATCGAATTTATTCATGTTATTCCATTCTCTTCATAGAGGTCGACCAATTTGTCCAATGTTTATTACATCACATTCTTCACTTAACTCGCTGAAATGTCTGTTGATGAAATTTTGTAACCCTTAGCGAATATTAGTGTTTTAAATATCATTCATTCATTCTTTTGTAGTCTGTACTACACGGTGATATATTGATTAACTTGGCCTGTCAGTTGTTATTGGTTTCTTATAGGTAAAGTAACTTATGCAATTTCATTGAAATTTGTAAAGAATTTAATCGATTAACAAAAATAGTCTTGGCCCTTCTTGAAATAAGAAACAAAAAACAGCATGACGAATAGACTACTCAAAGTCAGAGTATGACAATGACAAAGTCTAAACAATGTAACGTAAAATAAGTACATTGGACAGAGTAGTGGAGTTGTCAAACGACGAATCAAAGAGCACGAACACGCGAGGATACTACTGCTACAATATTACCACAATTAGTAGCACGTATCTACAAATGGAAACATACTATCGCTTCTTTGTTATTTGGGAATCCTGTTCGTATTTAGAAATCTCGGTTTCCTCAATGATGTATCCGTGGGTACGCTTACGAAAACTAAAAGGTTCGCAATCATTATCCACAAGTTCGTTGCAATGTAATATAAATATAACGAGTATGACTGCATTTTTTTAAATTCGTTATGGTGGTTTCATAGATGTCACAAGGGCATGAGCCTCGAGAACCCGTTTCCGCCAATAATGATGTTTCTTCGTTTTGGAAAGGAAGTACATCATCACAAGGTCATCAATCCGAAGATTAGTAGGACACACGCCTCCTTTTCTTCCTATTCTGAGATAATATTCGCATTTTCTTAAATTTTGATCATCCCACGTCGCCTTGGTTCAAGTTTTTCTGTGGTTTCCTTGGATCACTTAGGTAAATGCTGGCGCAGTAATATTATATCCACAGATATTTTTTCATTCTCTTCTGTCTTCATTTCGTCTGTCTCATCTTTCTCATCTGAACCACCACCCAACCATTTCCACGATTCCTGAAAGGAAGCTGAAGAGGGCCTTCCGTCCTACATTCCGGTGTAGTCCGGACAGACTGCCCTCCCAACAGCATTAATGGCCCAAACGTTTGTTTTTTTCTCTTTACACCTGCCTCTGTTTCAAATGCATGTCTAACTAGCATTCTATGTCTCATATCCTCTGTTCTCATTCTTTCTCCAATATCATTCCATTTCTAAACTTTTCTATCCATGGCACCTTTAGAAACAGAAGTAATTATCTGTTGTTAAAGGCGACAAGACAAACATGCGTTATTCTTTGTCTTATGTCTCTACCACTCTTTCCATCCTGAGTTATCTGACATTCTAAAGACATCAGAAAACGGCAACTTGTTGTATCTCCAAATGTATTTAGAGAAAAGAACACAGAAATTATTAGGTACACTATGTTAACTTTCATTATCGACTACAAAATTCGTCATGAAAAATACGGATGTGCCTGCAATTTGTTGTCCCAACTGTCCGCAGAATAAGCCAAAATCGTAACTTAAAATCATGTGTGATGTCAGTTTAACGGCTTTCGCTTTGTGATTTATACAAGAAGTCTGAACTGTAACGTAAGCTAACGCAGTTATCTTGTGACAGTATAAAGAATGATGGAGATTGAACTTAATATGTTGGAAGTGAACCGTTAAGCAGACTGTGGTCCAATATATTCGCACAAATTATACAAAATTAATTCCAGAGATTCTGAAGATAGATGTAAAACTTTTATAAATATTTAATACAAAATCAAAATTGTAAGCAGATTTTTCAAAGGTTAATGTACAGAACGATACCTAAACACCTGACGAAAAACTTTGAAACTTAAAGTTGTCATTTATAAGTTCATTATAGTTTAAGCGGTTTAGTTTCTTATTCGTTCGACTAATGTTCAATAATATTTCTGGAAACAATCAAAATAAAATTCCCTTTGCTTCCATATCTCCACAGGATTAAGAAAACTTAGTGTTGTACTTCTGCTCGGCGTTATTTCTAAAACAGGTTGTTTTGTTGCCTTTTGAATCAAGAAAGGGAAAAAGCGATATTCTTTGGAGAAAAGCACTTATGGAAGAAAGAGGCTTTAATTCGACTAAAAAGCTGTTTCCGTCTTTGTATTAAGTTTCCCTTCCACGTAACCCATTTCACAACGGTTGCTGTTCCAACATTAGACAGCACTTTCTTAATGGAATCGAGCCGCCTTAGACATCTACGAAATCGGTTATCATGCACCCGAGTAACTAAAAAAAAAGTAATTTCAACTGTAGACCTTTGTTAAAACTAATTAGATACTGTTAGAACTATAAATCCTTAAAAAAATAAGATTTAAGGTATTTCGTTACATAATAGAGCTTAAAGATGGTCAACTCGTGGTTATGGGCGAAAAACTTTAGGGTGTTTAACATTCACCTGCGTCAATCTCCTTTTAGGAAGTGTGGGAATGAGTGGATGGTAGTTGGAGTGAGAAAGATGAGACGGACGAAACGAGTATAGAAGAGATTGAGATTGATGATTTGTGGAATATTACTGCCCCAGCATTTGTCTATGTGGTCCAAGGAAACCACAAAAGGACTTAGACAGGGCAAAAAACTTAAGGGTGCTTGATTTTCACCTGCGTTAACGTCCTTTTAGGAATTGTAGGAATGAGTGGACGGTAGTTTGAGTAAGAAAGGTGAGACGGACGAAATGAGGACAGAAGAGATTGAAAGATTATATGTGGATTATTACTGCCCCAGCATTTGTCTAAGTGGTCCAAGGAAACCACAGAAGGACTTAGACAGGGCAAAAAACTTTAGGGTGTTTGATTTTCACCTGCGTCAACCTTCTTTTGGAATTGTGGAAATGAGTGGATGGTAGTTGGAGTAAGAAAGATGAGACAGACGAAATGAGGACAGAAGAGATTGAGATTGATGATTTGTGGAATATTACTACCCCAGCATTTGTCTAAGTAGTCCAAGGAAACCACAGAAGGACTTAGACCAGGGCAGATGACTCGGAAATGAACCGGTGTCCTTTTGAATGTCAAAGAGGCATTATATTATTTGTAATTTACTTACATGCGATCCGCACAACGTTTTTAAATGTGAAAGAAAGTTTGTTATCTCTGATCCAAATGGTCTTTTTTTAAATAGTAATTTGATGACACTGTTAGACTAAAAATAAAGCAAGAGGTATCCAATATTAACTTGCAGAGGAATCTTTGTTGACACAAAATTTCATTACCATCAAGGCATAAACGGCTCGAGATCCCTAATAATAAGAACAACACTTCCCTCAGAAAGGTCCCGAACTGTAACAAGCAGCTGGGAGCCTAAATTATTCCTAATATTTACTTGACAAAGAAAGGGTTTTCGAGGTACTTAAATGAAAATGCTGTTTAAACATTAAGCCCTTTCTTAAATAATCAATTAAAATTAGGATTCCCTCGAAACGACCGAACTTTGCTTGAATCCGTTGTCTCAACACCTGTACTTCTATTGATTAAACTTCCATATCTTGCTAGGTTTTCGCCCTGCTCTCTTCTTTTCTGTAGCTTTTTATTAACGAACACTTTAAAAGAGCAGGAAACCGTTTCAGTGTAAATAAAATAAACTAGAATCAACGAATTTAGACAAACAATCGTGTTAAGATGTTATGTTAAATGCGAAGTAGGGAAACACGGGTAAGTGTTTGGTTGACTGAAGTCAGCTATTTGAACGAATTATAGAAGCATCACTATAGTTTAATCTTACAGTAAAAAGGTTCTGTTTAATAGCAATGAAAATGCTTTCAGAAATTCTCGTATATACTGAAGTACATTTATTTATTTTGAGAATAGACTTATTGAGACTGAATACACCTCAAACTTCTCATCAGATCTTCAATAGTAACAGAAAAGCGGCTTTATACTATTACCGAAGAGTGATGGCGACCATTCATTGACAACCTGGGCAATTTTCAGTTAAACACCCCTTCCCAAATAATCCAACAAATACTCAACGAAACATTGTTTTCGTTTCCTTTCAAGTGGATAAAATGGAATCATTGGTTAGTTGCGCTTAGTTCATTTTGAATATTACTTTTGAATAGTTTCTTTCTTGTGAAGTTACCGAAACGGAAATTGTTAAAAGAAATTTTAGACACAGCACGGAAGTTGGAACAGTCTGAAAATAGTCCCACTTTACAACAAATCTCAGAAGCTTCAAAACAGTTCATTAGGCCGCCTCTTGAGCGAAATACTAACGGCCTCCTAATGGAATCGTAAAATCTCCCATTATTGTCCACTCCAGAAATTCATCAAAAACTTTTATCAGATTTGTAACATACGATAAAGTTCTTTTTCTATTACATAACACGAAATGTTATGAGTTTATTGCTCTGTAACGATGATCTAGTCAATATACTTCTTCGTCCCATTGCTGGTCTCCGGCCTTTTCTCCTGCTGTGTGTTTTTCAAATCTCCTTCCTAATCTTGCAATTAAAATATCCAAATCCTGACATTCGTTAATCGGGAATCGCCCCTCTTGTCCCTTTCTACACTTTATGCAATCACTGTAAAATTCACAATGTGTTTTGGAATTTACCTAAACGCTTTGCGATAAACAAAATGGAAGAAGACGGGATCCACATGCTTTTCATTCTATTATTTTGATTAATGTTGGTGGGTACATAAGTGTGGATGAATGTGTGACAAGTGCAATTGTGAGCTTTGCTTTGTAGTAGTTAGTTTTGCATGTTTGTCCTTTTTAAATAATTAATAGTACCTATGTAAGTAGTATTATAAAAAAGCCATGATTAAATAGTCGAAGCATCTAAATATGACTGGTCGAAGTAAAAGAAACTCGGTCCCGTATTAACTCTGTACAAAATATCGTAGCCCTCTCCACTATCTAAAAACTCACCTGCCGTTGTTGTACGTAAAATGCGAGTAAATGATAAGTAGGTATTTTTGTTGTCTTTTGTGTTCCGGTTGCTGGTTGTTGTTGATTCCCTTGCAGCGCGGACGGCAACTTTGAGGTTACACTTGCAACGAAGGCGACCATCTACAACCAAGGTTTGGTCGAATGGAAGCCGCCGGCCATTTACAAGTCCTCGTGTGAAATTGATGTCGAATATTTTCCATTCGACGAACAGACCTGCGTCCTGAAATTTGGTAGCTGGACATATGACGGTTTCAAGGTAAGAGACACGCAAGTAGAAATGCGCTCCAGTTATTCATGCCTCACATCAATCTAAGTCACTTCTCTCCGGACATATTATCTTATTACAACCCCCAACAACATTATGTACCTCCGGTACTCATTGCGGTTCCGACTACGTTTTGTCACACTTCACGCGACCTGGATCGGGATTTGAACTGAATGATTATAGTGCCGTCTTCTTGCTCGCTCATCGCCACATAACACTCTTTCTTCAATCTAACGATCGATTACAATGATTCAGGTCCTTGTTAAACTTTGAGTTAAATTTCAAAGTAATGTAATATTAAAGGAGGGTTCCTCATTTAGACTATATTGGTTCTCATCCTGTGAAGATCCGCTTATCCGACGTTTCGCCAGTTGATGGATAACATTATCGGCGAATGTAGCGAGGGTATAAAGCCCTTCCCTGCGTTTGTGCTGGGATGGATTACAGCCATCAGGCTTAATTGTCGAATCTTCATCATACAATGTCGTCCATGGAAACCCTACTATTTTCTGCCATTGGAATGCAATATACTGTCACCCGTTCAGGTGTTTCATTGGTTTCTATTTTGGATAATATACCAATTTCCTTGTTCAGGCATTTAGATAACATTATTTTCTGAATTGCATGGAGACAATCGGTGAACGACAGTCCATACATCCCTAATTTTCTCCTTGACACTTATTTCTTTTGCATCGATTTTTGTATTCAGAATTCTATCAAGTCATAATAGTCAATATTACATTGAATATTAAACTTAAAAGTGGATTTTCTGGAACTTCAACCGTTTCCAAATGCTTCCTTTATCATTCATTACCATCACTGCTTATTGGGGCATTCTTCTATTTATCACCATCCCAAAATCACTAATCTCAATCCACAGTCATTTATATAAAAGATGACTTTCAGGTGTCTCTTTTCCGTTTAGTTTAAATAATTGAGTAAAGACTCTTGATTAAGATCGAAACGAGTAAAGAATACGATTGATTTGGCTAAGTACCGAGCGGCATGGCCTAGAGGTTTAGACCATTGCTTAGCATTGGGGAGGACGCCGGTTCGATTCCGGGTCCGTCTGCCTTGGTCCAAGTTTTTCTGTGGTTTCCTTGGAACACTTAGGCAAATGCTGGGGCAGTAATATTCCACAGATAATCTTTCATTCTCTTCTGTCTTCATTTCGTCCGTCACAACTTTCTCACCCGAACCACCACCCACCCATTCTCACGATTCCTGAAAGCAGGCTGAAGAGGGCCTTCCGCCCTACATTCCGGCGTAGTCCGGAGGGACTGCCCGCCCACCAGCATCACTGGCTGGTGGGAATGAAACACCCAAAAGTTTCTTTTTTTTTTTGGCTAAGTGAGACAAGGAGGGAAGGCTAGCCAGTTGCAAGCGCGAAAGGTGTTGAAGAAAGGGGGGCTTGTAGCGATGAGTGGTGTGTCGAAATTGAAGAAATTATAAGTCCCCGTGGACTGGTCTTTGATAAGAGTGAGTTGCGGAAGCCGAGGGGACTTGACGTTCTCTGTCAAAGTGTATTTTTTGCAGCGCCGATGGCAACTACGAGGTAACATTGATGACAAAGGCCACAGTTCACTACAACGGGCTCGTTGTGTGGCAGCCGCCTGCCGTCTATAAGTCGTCGTGCTCGATTGACGTAGAATTCTTTCCATACGACATCCAAACATGCATTTTGAAGTTAGGAAGTTGGACTTACGATGGGTTCAAGGTTCGCGTGGTGTTTTATTTGAGAACGATTTTTGTTTAGAGCCACTACACTCCCTATGTACATATGTTTTATAACGACTGCTGACACTGACTGGGAAAGGTATAAAATTTTCACAAACTCTCCTCCACGTCGACTTTCGTTAAGATTTGACACTTGTTACATTGTGCTATCTCGTCACCGTTTTTTTAAATCAATAATTCACGACGTCTACCACCTGAGCTTTTTACGTACATTTATCTACAATTACTTTCACTTGCTTTCAACATTAATACAGGGTGTGTCACTCTTTGTCGTCAAAAGAAACATGTAAGTAGTAATCCTCTGAAATGTGTGTACGCGTTCCGCCATTTCCAAAAAGATCAGGCTATTACAAACTCAAACAGAAGAACGAGAAAAAACATTTTTCCTAAAACTTAACCAAAAACAGTCGAATTGAAAACAACAGCAGATAAATTTTTATAAGCTTTTGAGGTTAGTTGCAAATGCCGGATGATGTTATTCTTGTGACACAGAATTTACTGAATTTTGACATTTACCTTTTTACATTCCAGGTCCTAGACAATCTTTCGCCATACATACGATGATATTGTAGTTTTAGCTATTGAAGTGAAAGGTTGTTTCGGACTATTGACTACAAGATAACTATTGTCTATCAGTTAGCTTTTCGCCTATTGTCTGTAACTTTTGATGACACCGAGTGCCCATCCCCTGTATTCTATGCACTGAATTATAACGTTACTTTGTTTCATTTATTTATCATCGTAGATTTACGTAAATAACCGTTTCCTATAAAGATCTGGCAACGTTGTCTAACTCTTGCAAAATACACAACTTGAAAGGAACCTATACAATATAAATTTAGTATCGAGTATGTTACTTGGCGCTAATATAAATACTATGTAACGGTTACAACTAATTTTCTCTTGTCCTTTGCTTGTAATTATGTATTTGGAAGTTGGCAACACTCTCCAGCATGCTTCATTAGTCCTCGCAACGCTTGTCCATAGATCGAACGTGATGTTAAAGCAAACCAGTTTTACGTGCTGGAGGCTTAGTAAATATCAACCACCATGTGATTTACGTTCAGTTGCTGGGCTTTATTACAGTTGTGTAACTGAGAACACTGATGTTAAATTGAATGCACTGCTCAATCAATCGCTGCCATTCCTGAAAATTGTTTTCCCGCTCGTTAAATTGCTTAATTATCGTTTTGGACGATGATTAGGCATATCCTGCAATATGAAAAATGTATGCAGTAAAACGAACGTCCGGATTGCGATTGTATTTTTTGACCGAAAAGGCAGAGATAAAGAATTACTAACACGGCTTTGCAACCGTTGATAGAATGGACGAATAAACGCTTTCAAGACTGGTTTTCATCCCTCTTTAAGGCCTTTTTCCAAGAAGACCTTGATATAGAGACATTGATGAATGATGTAAGGTTATCCTAAGGCAACGATAGTTATTTGTGAATCAAGTCGAAATACAGCTAATGACTCGGTATTTTTCACAATGGCATTTGTTGGCTAAACGGTGAACAGATTTCTCGACCACAACTCAATCGATTCCTAACATTCGTTCAATAATAGAAAGCTGGGTACAGTATTTATTTCTGAGTAATACTGAGATAAAAATCAGGTTTAAGTTAGGTTGATAAAAGAAATCTCAGTATATAAAGATAAGAGACGAAAAATTAGAAGTGGCTGACTTTTGGTATCTAGGAAGTCAGATAAGTCAGGACGGAAAGTGTAGTAGGGATATAAAGCAGAGGATAGCGCAGGGTCAAGCCGCCTTTAATAAAAAAAGTCACTTCTATGCTCGCGAACGGTTAATTTAAAAATTCGAAAAAGGTTGTTAAAGGTGTTTGGAGGCCTGTTACAGGCGAATGATGAGGATAACATGGATAGAGAGGATTAGAAATGAAGAGGTATTAGAAAGAATAGGTGAACAGAGGACTCTATAAGAGTTAAGAAAAAGGCGAGATGTGTTAGTAGGACACCTTTTCAAGCATGAAGGACTACTCAAAGACATGTTACGAGGCCGAAACAGTAGTTAAAAGGAGTAGAGGTAGACCAGATTAGATTATTGCTGTTCGCAGATAGTTAAGTATATGGAATGTTGTAGTTTTAGGGGAATGTGAAGATTAGCTCAGGATAGGAAAGAATGGAGGTGCGTATCCAACCAGTCTTAGGACTGATGACCTCATGATGGTGATTTGAGAATGAGTTGATCGGCCTTGGAATTAAATCTAAGTGAGTCCTTTAATAAAAGGGGTTCATTTTATAACAATGTTTTATCTCTATAGTTTGTATGTCGTAAAAAGGGAAAGATGAGTGGCTTTCCATTCATGCAAAGTGACTAAAATGGTAACGAAACGAAAAGGTTTAATTGCCGAATGGTCGTGTTAGAGGTAATGCACTTAGTAGTAGGTAATTGCCAAAAACTTAGGATAAAGGAGAAGGCCTTATAAAGTCTTATGGAACTTATCTTGTTACTTTATGAAAACACCCACTCAACGATTTATTAGTGAGAAGACACAATTTTAGGCGGCTTGGTAATTCCATGCGGGTGCTGATAGGCTACAAGCTTCAGGCTATGCATGAATTCTTTCAAGTTTCATGGAACTACCGAGTGGCAAATTGGTAAAGGCTTTCGCTGCCACGAAGTGAACTGATGCTGTCCAGGATGGAAGTGTGGAAGGATCTCTGAAGAAACTCTTCACTCTTATTAACGAAACGTTAAGAAGTAATCCAACCGACGGCGGCTTTTTGGGCCCGAATTAGAACTACACCATTTGAACAATGTATCGAATCTCCTCAGTGTACTCTGGTTTAGTCTAACAAAGGACTCACGAAATCCGAGTGAGAATTGATCAGTGTAGAGAATTGAGTTCAAAAGGACCAAATAGTAGACCTGCTTTTAAGCGCCCAAGCAGACTAACGCTAGTGTTAGCGAAATAGTTTTTGGGAGAAACCGATAAAACACTACTTTTCTGTTTTTGTTTCTGACCATATTTTATCTGACATTGTCATCACACTTGGCAGTATATATTGACTGCGCGAAGACACTAGACCTTAATTCGTAATATTATTTATCCTGACTTAATTTCACTTGGCATAACCGTCTAATACAGATCGCGCAAAAACGCCTGCAGGTTTGATCAGGAATTTTCGACTTATATAACGAAATCAAAACAATGACATGTTTAAATTTCTCTCAATAGCTTCTACTCCGTAGACGGTCTAATTGATTGGAACTAATGTTGTTGTTTGTA